ACGGTTAGGCATCAATGAAATTTTTTTTTGTAACGGTTGTTCATTGAATGTTGTCTCAACCGGTATCTTCCTTTCAAATCTTCGTCCCCGGTTCTAATACCTTTGGAACAGCACTAGTCACATGTTCGTAACCTGTGCCAGCTATTTGCTGACTCATATCTTACTTGTCTTTACTTTCACGTGTCAACTCATCGAGCATCTGCCTGTCGTTAATCAATTTTACCCCATATAAATACTATAATTAATATTGCTAAGGGTATACTAGATAAGAAAGGTAAGAGAATTTTGGTATTATATGGTAGAGAACTTGAATTATTTTGATTGATGAGTTACAAATGTAATGCCTTTATATACACTAGTCACTTAGGGGCTAGATAAATAATAATTGTTATACAAGTCCTTCATATTTACAAGATAATGGCTTCTTCTAGAATTCCCTACAAAGTTAAAAGTTTCAAAAATTTTCTTAGTAAATACATAGGGTTCTGCGGTCTTCCAAGAAAAATCTCTATATTTGTCTAAAACCTTCAAACAAGTGTTAGCCTTCGTGTTATGTAAGCTTTTCACACACAAAAATATGTGCTAAATAGCACCTTTGCGACCCGATGACATGGTGGGTCATGAGATATTTGCTTTTATTGAAATGTATTCGTTTGGCTTTTAATCTCTTGATCACTAGCCTTCACTACTTTGTTAGCTGGTTTGATGTTATTTGGCTGCTAACCCCATGTTGCAATTTGCAAACTCAAAACTGAACACAGAGAAATAAATATCATTTTATGGGCAACAAGGTTGCAATGAGTATTATTCTTTGTTGGCTAAAGTGTTAACCAAAAGTACCATAAGCTTGTTTGCTAATAGGGACAATTTTCACGTGGTTTTTGTTCATTTTCACTTAGAGAGAGGATGTAAGATTATTTTTCCATTTGTATGGTTTCGTATTTATTATTCTTAGCTCCGCTTCGTTGTATCTGTTCTCATATTCCTTGAATTGTTCTGTGAAGTCTTTAGTGTAAATAATATACATTGGTTGGTGATTTTTTGCAAATTAATATCCGTGAGTGTCCTCGAGTGATAGCAAACTATGATATGGTAGAAGTTAGGGGTGTTGGGATTTTAAGCTTGTGTAGCTTAAAGAAGATGAATGAGAAATGGAGGGAAAATGAAATATTTGAGTTTTCCTCCTTGGCAAAGGGACATTGTCCCATATTGGAGGAAGAAAAGGCTTTTGATGGGTATATATATAATTGCTCTTCTTCTAGCTCTTAAAGAGTTAAGAAGAAGGCAAGCCTCGCTCCGTCGTCGTTGTCGCTCGGTTCGGATTCGGATTCGGTCAAAGATTGATTGATTAATCTTTTTGGACAAAATTCTTTTCAATTATTTATTTAATTAATTAAATAATTAACGAAAAATCAGGCCCGTTTTATTTTCCGGATTATTTTAAATCCGTTTTTCCGCAATATTTCAAATAACTTGTTCCAACAGCCATGGCTGTTTCTGAAAGGTTGCAAACCTTTTCAGAAACAATGCCAGCAACTCTATAAATATACTTTGAATCCCAGAATCTTTCCTTACGAATTTTTCTGATCTTCTTCTTCTTCTTCTGCATAAAAAATTCAGTGTGTTTTACAGCCTTCGAGTGGCTCGCTGTTCACCGGTGTCTTTGGTACCAACACTCCGGTGAGTTCAATCGTTCTATCCTGGGAGGTTATATTCCAGCACCTCGGGTACTTGAGGGGAATAATTTTCTTAAGGACACACTGTGTATTCAGTGGGCTCGATTTATTCCTATACTGTTTTTCCAGAATTTATTTCATTAAACAAGTATTACTAACTTTCTGTTTTATTTATATATTTCAGAAAATTTAATGGTTTAATTGTTTATTACAGCAATACAGATTTATAACAAGGGGTATACATGGATCGGGTTGGTATACCTTTATTATTAAAAACACAAGTAAAATCAACACTACTAGGAGAATTACATTTTTTTTGTATATTTAAAATAAATTTGCGCAAGTACAATAACATCTTCAATAAGAAAATTACACCAATTAGAACAAGAAAAATTAAAAAGAATTATTTTCAATTGGTAAATTACACCCTCATAAGTAAATCTAGAATTAGAAATATAAATTCTCAAAAATCAAAATCATAAATTTCATATTTTTTCTAAGCAAAATTTAAAAAAATTCGTCACAATTTAATAGTAAAGAGATTTAAATTGAACTTAACAACCGTAGAATAGTTATAATTTTTTATGATATAATAAACAAAAGAAATTATGAAAAACTAAAAACTGATCATAATCTAAGATTTTCATTGAGACCCAAGTCTTTCGATTTTGAAAGAAGAAAACTCGCAAATTTGAGATTAAGAGAAATGCTTATATTTATGAGATTTTAAAATTTTGGAATCTTTTTTTTGAGTGTATTAGTCACACAAAAAAAAACTAATAGAATAAAGGAAAGAGAAATATAAAAAATAAGAAAAAGACAAATAGAAAATTGGGAGATAACCGAAAAGAGAAACGACTGAGACAAAAGGAAATAAAAAGCACAAATAGGGAACCAAATAAAGTTTAACATAAATTCGAACTTGGGTCTTACACAGAAAAGCTTTCAAAAAGGTCTCTCAACCATGGCACCTTTGTTTAGTTTGTGATTGCGGGTGGCAGGATCATATAATTAACCTGGTTTAAGAAAATTTCAACATAGGTATATAACAATTTTATCAACCTAGAGGGTGCCACACCACCCCCACCCTAAGAGGTGGATCTGCCACTGTTTGGTTTGGTTTGGTTCGGTTCTGTCGGGTATTTTTTGTTACAAGAATATTATTTCAATCTTACTTTGTTAAATTTATAGATAAAATTTTGATAAGTTAATGTATATGTTTAGTAAAAATTTAAAAAATCGACAAACATATGATCTATTAAAATATTCTTATAGAATAATTTTTTTAGTAACACATGATAGTTATTTTCTCAGTCATCTAACAATAATTTTTCGTTGATGTATGCTTTCAAGGTTAACCGAATTTAATAATTAAACTTAAATATGAAACCTAAATAACGATATGTACTATTTAATTTTAAAATTATTTAAATACCATCTCAAATTCGAAAAAGATATAAGAATTTAATAGATCTTGGCATATGAATATGAAAGAACTAAGAGATTGAAGCATTTCAATAACACTTGACAAGAATGTGATGATACAACCCATTATTTAAAGTAAATAAAAATGGATGCAATTTATAGTTCTATTAAATATTACATCCCATGAGAGGATCCCAAATATTTATAGACATTTTTAAAGAATATTCTATATAAAGTTTTAAAAGTATATATAAAAATTAAATATTTATATATCGGTTTGGTTCAAATTTTTTTACTCAATACCAAACGTAATTCAATTTTTTAATTGGTTTAGTTTGATTTTCGGTTTAATGCGATTTTCCTATTAAATTTGAACACTCTAGTAGAACTATTGGAAACATGAATTTAAGTAAAACACCAATTCCTTGACTTTTCACTAACAAACATTGCTTTCTACTTTCTTTTTTTCCTCTCATTAGATAAAAGATCATCTGCTTTTGAACAATCATTTTTTGCCTTCAACTTTTACAACTCTGTAAAAAAGATCATTTGTTGGTAATGAAGGCCGGGGTGGAGCGAGTGCTCCATTATGGAATTGGTCCAATCCAGTAATTTTGATTTAAATCCTGATTGAATATATATAAATTATTAATTTAAAACCCGATAACTTAAAGACTATAATCCCGAAGCTCATAAGCTTCAAATCCTTGATCCGCCTTTGAACGAAGGAAATGAAACGTTTGTCATGAGACTCATGGCTAAATCCAGACTATATCACAAGATCAAATTAATTAATTACAATAAGTAAACATAGTCTCGTGGTTATAGACACAAGTAAAAATGGGAATTTGGAATGAAAAGACGACATCTTTGAATCAAAAGTACTATTGTGTTTAGCAGAACATGGTTAAAAGCAGGTTGAATATTGATTACCAATTCTTTGAATTGAAAAACAAGTCAAATTTAAAGTAGTTTTTTCCAGAACATAGTTAAAATCGAGGTTGGAAATTGATTACCAATTCACAAAGCCTGCAATAGATATGGCAGACAATATACTACCCTGTTTTCCTTTTCTTTTGTTTTTTCATTTATTAATCCAAAATTTCCTCTATGTGCTTCCACAAGAAGTGTTTGATTAGCAGATAAGTGGGGATGTATACAAAAGAGGAGAAGCAGATAAAAACCAAGATTTTATTATTACCTGTATGTAAAAAGAAAAAAGTAAATGTGGCTGCTGGGATTCGAGCCCAGGTCTCCACGGCCACAACGTGGAATTCTCACCACTAAACTACAGCCACTTGGTTGATGAAATCCCTTGGCGGTGCTATATTTAAACTCTAAGTATTCCTTCCATGTTCCAACTCTCATTCTTTACGTACTTCACTTATTTTTCTCTTCTAGTCCTTCACTTTCACATATTCAACATTTTGGAAGAAGAGAATATATTTTAGTTCGTTTGAGCTAGATCGAATCAACGATTTAAATTAGGATCTTTCATTATTACTAAACTGTCCCCTTATAAACTTTTTGTTGATTCACCACTTAGATTATTAGAAAGAGAGCTGACGAGTGTGGAGAATAATTAGAAGTAATAACAATAAAAGTATCACCATAATATATATAGAGTGAGATATATAAAAAAAAAACACACGTAATTTTAAAGTTACATAATGGAAATATGGTACAACACCCCACTATATATAGTACGATCCACCCGCCTTCTCCCTAGATAAAAAAAAGGACTTACACTGGAATACAAAGTCAAATAGCCTGAAATACGAATAACATGATCACGACTGGATGACTCAAAGCAAATGCAAATCAACAAAGAAAACATGAAAAAATAACAGTACAAATAAAAATGGAATAATTTATAATTAAGTAGACAAGTCTACTTAATTAATTCTTAGGGGGTGGTGGAGTGAAAAATGGAATAGAAGTAGGGAATTTTGGGAATGAAGGAAATGAAGGAATTGGTGGCATTGCAACTCTTGGAATGCTTGGAATTGATGGCATTGGCGGCATTGATCCAACCCTTGGAATTGATGGCATGTTTGGAATACTTGGCATATTTGGAATAATACTAGGCATATTAGGGATACTTGGTATGCCTGGAATTGTAGGGAAACTTGGATTATTGGCCTGCAATAACTGACGACCAGCTTCAGATTTCCCACTCAATATTGCAAAGGAGAGAACAGCAACCATGAAAATGCTAGTGTATATGCTTCTAGCCATAGTTTCTTCTTTTAAAATTATATATGTATGTATGTAGTTGGAGCTGAAGTTGACAAGACTCTCAGATTTTGTTTGCTGCTGATGAGAAACTATGTAGTGGATTGAGGTATTTATAGTGGAAATTTGATTAAGCTTATGTTTTGATTATAGAGTATTAATTAATTTGTTGGTTTTAGTTATGACTTTTGATTGATTGGTTTAGAAACGCCTGACGGCTGGGGGTAAATTGTTGTTGATGTTAGTTTACCATCACTTGGTGTTTTATTAAATTGAGCCACTGCCCAGTTGTCCAGTTTATAAATCAAAATCAAAATTGAAGCAAACATGTGGCATTTTAAGATTCATTCATGTTAGTCTAGCTTCTTGTTGGACACCTATGCGTGTATATTCAACTTTCTTGGTTTTAAGTTGAACTAAAATGGTTGTTAAACCACCTCATAACAGTACTTTGCCCAAGGGATCTTATCATTACTAAACAAATGCAAAAAAAAGTGAAAATAAAAAGATCATGCTGTAAACTATGTCATTTTTTTCCTCTTATTTTTCCTATTATAAAAATAAAATAAAAAAAGAAATACATTGCATTTATAAAAATCATCAGTTAATTGCTCTTAAGAATATAATTTGGAATAGAAGACGAGATGCCATCATTTTAATTATACATAGATAAGCACTTAAGACGAAAAACAACTTAAGATATTAGATAATCTGTTACATAATTTGAGGGCAAATCAGCTACAATATTGCTTAAGGTAGGAGGAGAATAACGTCTAAAGTTTGAAGTTAGAGGAAGAAATTGATTTTTAAGACAAAGTTGCAGGAGGAAAAATGATTGTAAATGCGTGGCAAACTAAAGATGTATTGGAATTCTGCTTCAAAAAGGCAATTGGCCTTGATAAGCATTGATTCATAACTTAAAGAAAGCAAGTAGTAGACGCGATGTTACGCATTCTTGCAACAAGAACGGAGAATTTAACGAAATAGAATCTAGATCTATTATTATTAGTTGGTACACATTCAAATTCATTAGCAAAATAGAGATCCAAGCGCAATAAAAAGGATTACTCTCTCATAAATATAAGACTAAAAAAAAAGAATATATGAGTTGCCATAAGAAGGCATTGGATCAGCTTGCAAAACAGCTAGGATACAACTTGTATTGTGGTGAATAAGATGTAGAGTTTTACTTAGATCATATTAATGACCGTTGAATACTGCTAGGCGTGAAAGAACAAGCATATGTAACATTCAATAATCTATAGTTTGACCAAAAAGTATAACTTTCGGTTAAACCTTTATATTTATGTAATGTTGGGTTAAACCTAGTTAATAATAATATTCATAAACGTGAATCTTGAAAACACGGATAATGTGGGGCTGATCCAGTAGGGGGTTAATAATATCGTGCATTAAATATTCCAAAAATATGAGCAATAATGGAGGAGTAACTAGCAATAAATGGCATTTAAGTAAATAGAAGGAATGATTCACCCAATAACGAATGAGTTAGATGATTGTTCCTCCTGACAATGATGCGTGACAGATAAATCCTAGAATGTTCGAACTATTCTCGGATCTGATGGAAAAGTATGGAATAATATGAGCAAGAATCTTGATGAAAAGAATATGTTTGTATCTTCACTAGAGAGAGAGATTCTTCTTATGAAAAGTGTTCTTATCAAGTGAATATCACATAGCTTTATTCATTGTCTTTTTTCCTATTTATATGGGACATACCCCCAATAAACCCTAATAACACAAGTACAAAGAATATCCAAAGGAATATTCTCTTTAATATCCTACCCTAGTAAATTAGCCGTTACAGTTCTTTCTGCCATGCTCGACATCGACCCGCGTCTACATCTCGACCACAGGCTTCACCATCTCCTGGTCGACCTCGGCTGACTCTTTTCTCGAAGTTACTTCCCACCAAATACTGAGATAGATTTCGACCCATACAGAGTTAGTCACTCCGCTTATTAAGGCCGGCCTCAGGCAACCTTAATGGGCGGATTCTGTTTGTTGCGGTTGGCCAGACTTGGACGAGCGAGGCGAGCTAAGATATTCCACACGAGATGACATCGTGACCTTTCGTGAACGCACTATTGGGGGGTGTCGCTTCCGCACCAGAATGACGTCATGACATCATGCGTCATTATGGCGCCTTTTCCCGATGCTTTGCGTCGTTTTCCGTGCGACTGTCAGTTGGGGCTGCCGTTTCGACTCCAGTGCTAGGTAATGATGGCATAATTTCTTGGTTTTGATGCCCGGATTCTTATAAATAGGGACGTAATGACTTTTATTTGCCCTCTACTTGCTCTTCCTATCAAAATCCTTTGCCTTCTTCTTCTCCTTCCTCCATTGTCACGTATCTTCTTATTGGTTTTAGCGATTCTTGTTGCTTCTAACACTTCCTTGCTTGAATATCCTCTCTTAACAACATGGCTAATGTATCCTCTGGTTCCGGTATGGCAACTGACCCTGTCCCTTTGGCGGTGCTTATGCCCCCTCACGCTGATAGTGTCTCTGTCACCATTGAGGATGAGAATTTTCCTACGGTGGAGGAAATAATCCCTCGTAGTGAGAAAGTTAAATCCGACTTTTCAAAGGCGCCTGAAGGTGAGCCCGAAGTCTCGGAGTCAATGATGAAAGAGGCCGATCTGGCTGAGCTTAGGGCAAAATTCAACATTCCCGCCCACATCGATATGGTTCCAGCAGGGCGTGATGTGGTGCAAATCCACCGCCCAGGATATTGCGCGTTCTATGCGTATCCTTTCCAGGTCGGCTATATTCTCCCCGTTCTCCCATTGACGAAAGAATTTTACCGCTACTATGGTGTTTTCCCGGCCCAACTCTCTCCGTACATCTACAAGCTTATTAGGATGCTCACAAAATTCGCGGAGTTGGCCGGGGTCGAGGTCAAACTCTGCCATCTGATGCATCTCTTCGCCCTTACCTTTTATAAGGGGGCGATGTTGCACCTTCGCTATCGAGGAGGTAAATGCCTGGGGGTGAAGATGGACGACAAAGCAAATCGTCAGTTCTGGCTCAACTACTTTTTTGTCAGAACCGAAGACGTGGTAGCCAACGCGGACGACTTTCCAGATACTTGGAATCACGCTCGTAAGTATCCATTTTTCATGAAAGGCATTTGATTTGTCTGTTTCTAGTCATAGGCTCGAACATTTTGTCTCTTCCTCGTACAGCCAAGGTTGCGCCTCCTCCTTTGGTGATGGACATTTCCGACTAGGTTGGCCGGATTCTGCCTCACATTGTGGGGATTCGTGAGTGGCCGGTCTTTCTCAAGAAGTTCGGGCCTGCTTCTTCCTTGGCTGGTGAGTTCATCTATTTTTTATTTTTACTTTTTTGACCTCATGGTCGCTTGCTCGCTATAGTTTATTATCGGTAGTGACAACCTTTGATCTTTCTTTTTCAGTACGAGGATCTTCGAGGAGGCCGAGGGCTCCTCCTCCTGCGTTTCGTAAGAGTAAGGCTACTTCTTCTTTGGAGTCTGTTCCTACTGTGACTATGGCTATGCCTGCTCGGTCATCTGCTTCTATTCGTTCTTCCGCCGCGGCAAGTTCTACTCGTTCGTCAGCCACACCTACTGCTGCCTTCGTATCAGTTTCTTCTCCGTCTGCAGGTATATCGACAGGATAGCTCTCGGCTTTTTCTTTGCATCGTTTAGTGGATGAGGAGGAAGAGTCGTCGCCGAGCGGTGGGAATTTGGTTCCCCATAAGAGAAGATCGATGGACGTCGGTGATGGGGTCGCCCGGGCTGTGGATTCAGTAAGGGGCGATTTCGTCATCCGTGAGACGATGAAAATAGTGCTCGAAGATGACATCGAGTCGTCGCCTAAGATTCCGTCATCGGCTAAGGCCGCAGAGGGCGTGTCCCTTCCCGATGTCACGATGGAAGCTGAAGGGTTGTCTGCGATAGTCTGATATTTCACGGCAAGATAAGCCATCGGCCTCACGACCAGTTGATGGTCCTTCTTCGCTGGTCGACAGGAAAGGAAAAAACGTTGCCGAGGATGGCTATGAGACGGGCTCTGATATTGATGCCGATGAGGCGAGGATGATAGGGGAGGATTTTACCCGACTTGAAGTAAGACTGGAGGGGTCCACGCGGACCATTGTGATCCCCATGGATCGAGATTTGTTGGTAAATACGGAGAACGTGGCTACTTCCCTTGGTCCCCCCTGTTCTGACGTGGAGGGTAAAACCCTTGAAAAGCTGGATGATGCTACCTTATCAAGGAGAATAGCCGGCCTCGCTNCTTGAAAAGCTGGATGATGCTACCTTATCAAGGAGCATAGCCGGTCTCGCTCTCAGGGTAAGCTTCTCGACTTCTTCCATTTTTTGTTTGTCAAGTTCAACGTTTAGGCTTCGTTCTTACTCTCCGTTTTCTTTGTCTTTCTCTTTCAGACTGTGATTTTGGAGATTGAAAGCGCACGAAGAGATGAGAGGCGTAAAGCTATTTTTCTGAAAATGAAGCAAAAATACCGCCAGTACCGTGGCAAGCACCGCGATATTTGTAGGCGGTTTGGTGAGAGTGGCAATTTCCAGGCTCTCCGAGACAAACTGAAGGAAAAGGATGGCGAGCTGGTGAGGGTCATCGAAAAATGCAGCGTTCTTAAGGGGGCGCTGAGAGATAAGAAGAGGAGCTTGAGATTAGTAAGGGGGTCGAAGCCCAGTGCGGCGATCTCCAAGCCCAGGTGGTCTTGTTGCGTGCCGAGCTCGAGGAGTGTGAATTCAAAGCGGATGCTTTAAGTGGTGAGCTCGCCGAGAAGGCAGCGGATCTCGAGAAGGCAGAGTTAGCTCGGTCGGGGGCTATGAGGAAGGCGGAGGCTTTGGAGATCGTAATCCGTGTTCTTCGTTCCGAGCGAGAGAGTGCCTTGGAGACGGTCAGGCTCAAAGAAGAGCGGCTTGATGAACAGATTGGAGAATTAGAGAAAGAGGCTTCTGGCCTTTGTGATCGAGTTGCCGCTCTCGAGGC